CACGCACACACACACACCTCCACATTCCAATGTAAGGAACAAGCACCCACTGAAGTATAAATAAAGACCGGGGCAGTCTCTCATTGCGAATCTTGGAGCCTCACTCTGTGTGTGTGAGCTCTAGAGGCAAGAAAATCTGCGTGTTTCTCCTCTCTGATTCTCTGCTGAAGAAGTGTTTTAGAATATATCTCTTAACAGAGGAAAACACAAACACGGTGTACAGTCGAGTCTTAATAGCTTACTTAAACTTACTTTGGCTGCAGTAGTTATTATTATATTTACATGCTTTCATCTCCTGTTTCTGCTCGGTGACAGCTCGTACTGTTCGACTCTCCTTTTTCTCCCTCCTCTCCCTCACAGACACATAACGGGTACGGCAGTCCATTCTCCCTGCAGCACGGACTACACTGCCCATGAGGCTCCATTCTTAGGGCTATGCCTTTAACACTCTGCCTATTGCCTTCATATTAAATAATTTTTTGAATAACAATTTTTAAAAATATTTCTTCGCGTCATGAGACACAGGCATTAGAGACTCTTAAAGTGTGTTTTGTTTGGGTTTCCACCGGCGTGGAATTACCAAAAATAGAGAGGGCATAGCCTAACATATGAAACAGGAAAAGACCACTGTGTAATCCCTTTATTTCAACAAAGTAACTGTACTCTGAATACCACCTTTTTAAACAGCAACTGCAATGGAATATGGTCACTCATATTTTGTATTTTAAATACCTAACGCCGGTACATGTATTCCATTACTCCCCAACACTGTCTAGTTGTAATTTAACATTCTGCAGTTCTTTCCATGTTTGTTTGATTGGATTTGTTGCATATCTGCTTGTTAGATATTTATTTTTCCCCTCAATATCGTGTTCTACTTTCTGTTCCACTTTCCACTTCCCTTATAAATTTATCAAATTCTGAATCCATTAAAAGGGTGATATTAAACTTTATGAGATGATTTAAAATGGGATCAATTCTGCTATCTTTACCTGAGCTGCGGTAATGCATTAATTCCTCCACTGCAGGATCAATAAAGTCTTATCTTATCGCTTATCTTATAAGTTAAGGATATGGGTGCGTGCTCACTTATTGTAATAGGGTGTATTCTAGAAGTTGTTTTTTCAATGATAGAATTATTCTAAGAAAAAAATATATTCCAGAAAAAGATTGATATACAGAAGAGAAGAAAAGTATAATTCCTGTTTGCTTCATTTCTGAGTCTCCAGACATCACAAACACCAAAATCTTCCATATATTCATGTATTATTCTGGCAGACTGTAAATGTGCTATATTAGCTGAATTACTGGAGCGCTCAAAAGGTTTAATACAGTCTTACTGAGTTTGCAGTTTGCAGTAAGGTCCCGTGACTTTCGCGCATTGCATTGTAGGTACGAGTCGCAACAAAATCAAAACACTGCATCAAGCGCAAGCATCTCCAGCACTGGTAATCATTAATTCTGCGGTTTTAATCCCTACTTGCATTTTATTT